ACATACTTATGAAGGAATGAATTTAAAATAATGACTTCATGCACGATACAACATCTTGTTGAGCTACTACCATCTCACATCACCTTCCCTCATCCTACTATTTCTCTTACTATTCCCTTGGAATTGGTTGTGACAGATTTAATTTTCTTCATAGCAGCATGTATGGTGCTATGTTTTGTATTTGTAGCCAACCACCAGAGACAGCACGCCCATTTCAGGTACTGCAGTGTCAAGCAAGGCCTTTGCTGAAGACCTGGATTAGCCTTCTGTGTAGCCTCACAGCCCCCAGGACAACCGTAACACCTCATGAGGCTTCCTCAGGCCATCACTTCTATACTGCAGATTCAAGTTACCCTCTGGCAAGAGGCTTTCACACTAAGTTTCATCCTCCCTCCTTTGCCAGCACTACGGTTCCAGCAGGCAGGTCCACAGAAGGGCATGTGTCTAACCAGCCTTCACCTGCCCTTGACTTTAAAGTAGCAAGGGAAACCTCAGCCAGGATGCAGATGTCTGTATTAACATAATTCTATATAGAAACATGTTCACAGAATCACTGAATGGTTGGGATTGAACAATAAACGTCACATAGTTCCAACTCCCCCGCCATGGACACAGGGACAAATTTCACTCAACAGGTTGCTCAGAGCTCTTTCCATCTTGGCATTACACACTTATAGGAGTGGGATATCCACAACTTCTGTGGGCAACCTGTTTTACTGCCTCACCTCCCAGTCAGCAATGAATGCTTTCCTAACATGCAACCTCAACTCATTGTCTCTCAGTTTGAATTTAAGTTCTACAAGTTGGCAGCACAATCACATCTTGCATGACTGCTCAACATCTTGAGGAGGGACAGCAGCCAGGATATGCCCTGCTGGACTTGGCTGCCCTGAAAACACAGAAAAGACAGACAGACAGACCTCCCTGCCTGTGGAAACACAGTTTGTATGAGAGGCAGGCAAGCGATGACATGGTAACATCTCAGTGTCTCAGGAAAGGAAAGGAATTATGAGTTCTGTCCTATGACCCAAACAGCTCTCACATGAAGTAAAACAGCACCTCACTCAGGAATGGGATGGCTGTTTGAATTGTGAAATATTTTTGCTGTTCTGGCACATATCAGCAGAGCAAATTATTGCAAATTACTGTTTTAAATGCACAGTCCATTTCAGTTTTGCTTCTCTCTTCTGCAGACTGCTTGGCCAGACTTGTTCAGATGGGCCTTTAGGGGGGAAGATGTGGGTGCTACACACTGGCTACACCAGTGAAGTTTCCCAGGTGCACAGAGACTGCAGATCACAGAAGTATCTTACCATGCACACAGGTCATGCAGTCACTCAGCACACATCCCAGACTGTGACATTTGACTCACATTCCACAGCAACTCTGCTGGCCGAGTCAACAATCTTATGAGAAGAAGGTGTATGGATTTATCTGTGCAAGCTAACAAAAAACAAGGGGACTACAACAGAGGTGTCTATCCAAGCAGCTCACAGGCTGCTGTCGTTACAGGCCTGTGTTTACATGCAGCTCTGGTAAGAAGCTTACAGTCCTGTTCACAAAGAATCTGGAGAGGGATTTGGTCCACACCTCCAGCAGCCTTTCTGGCAGGTTTTACAGCAGAGCCAGCACAGAAAGGGACACACAAAGTCTGTGTCTGCTGCCGAGTCTCAGAACAGCCCAAATAGGCAGGAAAACAGTGGAACATGTCACACAAGTGTGCCTGTCAGTCTGCCTCGTGGGATGGACACAGGATTAACTCCAATGTCCCTAGGATTCCAGTCACAGGCATATTTGCTCTGTGCAAAGAGAGGGTGCCTTGACCTGCAGTTGCTCTCAGGTCACACTGCACTCCTACTGTGTCATGAGACCAAAACCAGCACAAAAGAGATCTGGCTGCCAAGATAATATTCAGAGTGACTACCCTTGTGTTCTTGCCCATAGAATGAAAGCACTGAGTATTATGGGGTAATCACTGAACACCAAAATTTTCAAGGACAGATAACTTCAATGGAAAAAGATTTATGATTTGTTATGGTAATTGTTAGCAGCAAATAACAAAACAGTACTTTTTGTAAAGTTAATAGTTCACCTTTAGTCAGGTTTTGGCAGTACTCAGTTGCTTTCCTTGCTCTTCCTAAAAATTATAAGAAATCTATGCAGAAGTTGAGAAATATATTTTCTGCAAGACCTAGGCTGTTTTTCTCTAACAGTTACAAGCAGACAATTCCTTTGGTTTGCCCTGCATATGCTGTAATTCTGTATCAAGGAGTTTTATGAGGTAACCTTTAGCACTTCAGCAAGTTTTCATTTCATTATCATAGGCCTAAGTAAAACTCAAGGCTAATTTTAGCATTTATAGGAACGTGCTGCTAGAAAGAAAAGGTCAAATGTGCTCACAGGAAGGCAGCACCAATTTGAATTTTTGGCTTGAACCTGTTTCTCCTTGCAACAAATGACTTTCTTCCATCTACCCATGTCAAGCAGAATGAACCTCAGCAGCAACAGCTGTTAAAAAGGAGGAATTCTGTATACACTTGTAATGTAAAACTTTCCCTTTTCCCCATAATGTATTCAAAACAGTGGTGTCCAGGGAGGAGAGAGGAACACAATGACACAGCACATGTACTTTCTGTGCTGCTGATACCACAGACAGCATTCTCTGCCAACATGAGATACTTAATTTTTATTAAAAGAAGAGTCAGATGTTTTTTCAGCAGTACGTACTGCCCCTGCCCCAGTAGAAAACTAGCTGCTCTGTTCCAAGTCTAAGGAGGCAGATGATAATGCCCACTCACCCTATTGAAATATTATCCTTTCTGCCCCCTTTCTGTTTGGTTAGAAGAATCCATCTTGCAGTTCTAAGAGAAGAGTGGAGTTAGGAAAAATGGCTTTCAGAGATTCATTCACACTTGCTGGTACCCTTAACAACACCACTCAAAGGCAGGCCCTGTGGATTTGGAGAATGGCAAATTAGTTGTCTGTGTCTCACAGGTGATGGATGACTCAAATGACCTTTTCTCCTTTTTAACAACAAGCAAAAGAATGATGTCATATAAACATACAGATATAAACACATAAATATCCACACAATCACCTATATCTGGTAAGGGTGGGTTTTTCTGTTAAAAAAGTATTAAAAATATTTAAATACACAATCAAGAGCTTAAACATTTAGATCCCACATTCTGTTTCCATTTTAAATCCTAAGCAGTGGTTGAGAGGAAACTGATGAAACAGGAGAAAGAATTCAAAAGGCACATCATTCTCATGAAGGTGAAGAACAAAAGCAGATCAATACTGTGGCAGGCCTATGAATATCTGAATATGATAAAAGGCAAGCCTTAGACGGTAAAGGGAAAGAATACCATTTCCATAATTTCTATTAAGCAAGTATCCCCTCTTCCCAGCAGTGTCTAACAACATGGTAAGAGGACAGTACCTCCCCAGGCAAAGTAAAGATATTCCTCTGGCAAAGGGGTGGCAAGCAGACAAGTTCAGTTACCCAGAGGAAGCCAACATGGCCACAACATCAGTGTTTATTTTGAGGGGAAAGCACTACTATTGAGGCTCTTCTATGGATGAGAATTTCTCTTATAAAGGAATGCAATTTTACTGTAAAAAATCTAATAAAGTGTTTTCTCCCATCTAAAGATCTTCTGAATAAGGACGCACCAACTCTAAGCTACAGCCTCGCCTTAAATATTTACTGGCTAGTCACAGAGAATCTTCATGAAAAGCCTGGTGTCAACAGAAGAGCTGTCCAGAGAAAAAGTCTTTTGGCAGAAGACACATCAGATCAGAAAAAAAGCAGCATATACAACAGTTATAAAACCCACAAAACTAAACCAAAAGAATTTAGAATAGCCATATAATTGTTAAAAGCAAAGAACCTACTGAACCTAGGTCACTAAAATGAAAGACAGGCTGGCTATTGACAGGTGAGAAGTTAATCTGAAATATGCTTCATGTCAAGATGCATCTCAGACATACTTTCTTTTGGGTGTTTCATCCAAATAAAGACAGAAAATATTTCTCTGCAAGGAATGAAAAAATTTTTAACTACATAATCTTACAAATTTGAAAAAGAACTAGGGGGAAGAAACTGAGACAAAAATAGAGGACTCAGAAGAATTTCTGAAATTCCGAGCTGCTTTAACAAGCAGCCCACAGAACATTCTGTGGGTCAGAGTAACAAATGTTTCAAAATGTCCTATTCCTCTGGCAGGAGACCTAACCATATCATAACAGGGGCAACAATGAGGAAAGCTTTCAACATGGTTACTTTCAATGTCACATGTGCCATGCATTAAGAAGACAAACAAAAGTAGGCAAAGGCAGATGAAATGGTGAGTTTCAGTTTTGTACTAGCTAAGATATCCAACTTGGGCACACTGAGGAATACCTCATATGGGGGATAAAAAACGGCTGCATATTCTACTCTCTCACTTTCTTTGGTCAAAATGATAAAGAGGCAGGTAATTACTTAAACCCCATCTGAAATTTTCAGAAGCCTCAAATTAAGAGATTCATTGGAAGAAGAAATATTCTTTTTGAGAGATTGGGAGAGAATAATTGTTTTTGAAATAATTTTTAAAATGGTGTATGTTAGTGTTTGCTAAATGTAATACCAAGAATATACATGAAGTTGTTGTTCTCTTCCCACTCCCACCTTATGAAATACATTAAAATTCACTGGATCGTATAAGATTTTCTACCTCAGAAATAATTTCTCTTTCTCTTTTCTTTCTCAAATACTCCCAAAGATGTTAGCTACTGTTGATCAAACAGAAAATATGATGTGCTTCAAAGCTCATTCTATAGAGTATATCTTAATATTCAACTGAAAGGAAAATAACATTTACTTTACATCTGAAGTAAGGCAGGACATCTCAGACTGAAATCTGTTGTTTTTGATAGAGAACTATTGCATTTTCATATACAGTATCAACTAAATACTTCTTTGGAGGAAAAAAAAAGGCTTTGCAGGAATTCTTAAATATCCCAATGATATTTTTATTATTCATTAAAACAGACTTATACATCACACAGAGCTTAAAAGCATGATTATAAAAAACAATCACTATCCCCCTTTATGTTTTTTAAATCACAGAAGAGTTTAAGAGCTGAGCAACTTATGCGGAGGTGATAGCACTTCGATTTCTCTGAGATCTTGACAATACTATGTGTCTCATAAATCTGATTCTCAAAGTAGAGAATCACAATGTCACCAGGCACAGAGGCCCTATTAAAGTATCCCCAATTATCTTTCCAGAGTGCCTTTCTTTATCACATTATTTGATAGACTCTCATGTACAGGTTTGAGCTGCCCAAATATAAAGTCCTCAGCCCATTCTGTGCTTCTCACAAGACAGAGCAATCACAGGGCCCATTTTTTCCCCTAGACAAAGTCAGACCATCAGTGAAAGTCTATCAGATTGTGTAAGTATCAACATGTATACGTAAACAAAAATCAGATCTTCGGTAAAGGCAGTTTTTCCTTCAGTATAATAACAAACAGCTTTTGTGAGAAATGTAAAGAGCCAATATGTTCAGCATAATACCCCTGTGTAAGCCCTTCAGAGATTAAACTACAATATCAATGTCTGCTACAACAGTATTTGTCAACATATAGTCAATTGGCTCCATGAATAGGAAATAATGTGGTTTATTGCAAACAGTAGACTTCAAAAAACAGGTATTTCGAAGTCCAGTTTGTTATGATTTTATTTAACAAAACATGAGCTAAATGTTTTCATGCAACATTTGCACTTAGGTCTTAAATAATCATGACAAACAGAAGTAGTTAACGAACACACTAATTATAGACTTTGGTGAATATACAAAAAACCTCAGCATTATAGGTTATACAAAGTAAAGAACATATTAAATACTTCCCCAAAATACTGCAGCAGCTGAGACACAGTGATATGCCTTGCAAGGGCACAGGAATGTAATTTAGAAATCACATGGGAACTACCCCTTTCCTTTAATTTCACAAACAAGACAAAAGCAACATTCAACTCCACACACTGATTTTTCAGGTTATGTCTATGCAGTACCTTGAGTTTTATCCAGTAAAAGTAAGACATGTTTATTTAGTAAACAATTATGCAGTAAATCTTTATTCCATTTCTTCCTTGGTATTACCTGGAGTAGCCATGTTATTTAAAAGTGGGCAGGTTTGGTACTTTTATACTGATGTCACCAATATTAATATTTCTTGGGATCTCTGGCAGATTCATATTCTTTACAGCTGAAACAGCCCGGGCTGGAGCTCCTGCTAAACCAGCCTGTATATAAAGTGAGGAAAAATGCAAGTCAGGCAAAGTCAGTCACAAGAAGGTTCACCAGCAATCTACACAGACAACTAACTTTTCAAGTATTTCCATGGTTACACAATTAGAAAAACCACATGGTAATTGTGTTTGGAATGAAATGGGTTACTTGGAAATATTAAACCAGAAAGAGAAAACAGTTCACATATTCCTCTTTATATGGTAAAACATGTAATGTCAATTGGATGGAAAAGTATGAGAGGAAGGAACAGGAGGCTTATCCAAGCACGTGTAATGTGCACGTCACAGAACAGTCTCAAGGTGTTGGGTGTCCAGTGTGCTGCCTTTGCCTTTTATCTATTCTAAAAGTTCACGTGGTTCACACTTGACTAGCATTGGTTACAGGTTCAGAGTAAGTAACCTCAAAGTAACAAGGTGCTGAATTTCAGTCAAATCAATGAACACAGACACAGACACACACACACACCTGTGTGTGTATATATACATACATACAAAAATACATATATATGTACACACAGAGGTATTTCAAGGTGGCTTAGACTAAGATGAAAAGGATAAATACTCTGCATTTGTGGTTGATGAAGAGCATGCAGACAGCCAAACTAGGATAACCTGTTTCCCACAGTAACTAATTATACACTAACATATCTGCATCCCCTTGAGCATTACACAACAACATGGTTATGCCAAATTAAACTACTACACAGCACCTATTTTTTATTAAAGTTCTCTATTGCATGCAGTGTCTTTGCATACAAAACTAGAGCCTTTCTGTACGAACATGCAAGTTTTACAATAGAGAATTGCTGACTTCCATTTGGTTCTGCTTTTAGTTAAAGCAGCTGCCAAGTTAGCACACTGGGGTATATTATGAAATGCTAACGATTTACAGCTCAGAGGCCTGAAGACATACCAAAATCATCTTTCCCTATTGCTTCTGAAAACACCTATTCAAAACCTTGTTATTTTAAGGACTATTAAAACAAGACTGTTAAGTGTTACTACTATTTTTGATGTTGTGAAAAAACCAGACTATTAATTTTAGGTATGGAAATATTTCTCCTGAAAGTTCAGATTCTCTATGCAGATTTAGAATTTGCAGTGTGGTTTTACTTCAGGCTTGCCACAGAAGTGTAAAAATAATTTTTATTTTTGCAAGGAAATAAAAAAGCACGGGACATTTTTATAAGAACTCTTATTAGCAGAAAAAGATATCATATCACAAATTTTCTGAATATGTAAAAAGAATTAACTTTAAATTTAACGTTTTAAAAGTAAGATTAAAAATATTCAAAAACAAAAAAATCACAGTGTAAGATTTACTAGTTTTACAGTGTGGCATCTTACAGGTCCAGTAAAAAGGAGCAATTCACAAGAAACAAAGCAAGACGCTAGGAATTAGTTTAAAAAAAGACTAAACCTGTAGAAATGGAAGATCTTTAATTTTAGGTTTTTCAAAGACTGAAGAAACCAGTCCATTTGCATACAAAGTATTTCTGAACAAGAAATACAGCAAAATGAAAGCAGAAAAAAGGTTGTGTCATATTTGACTATTAAAAAGCATTGGTACATGACTACCACTCAAAGTATAACCCTTTCAGATTCTTGGTTTTCACTGAAATTCACTGCAAGTGCAGGGTAAAACTACTGAGGAGTGCACCTGACTTCCATGGTGTTCACCTGGTCAGCTTCACAAAAGGAGACAGACACCCCACACACTTGTCAGATAACAACTCTACTTTTTGAAGGTTATGAAAAAAAAATATTTCTCCTTTCTACTACTCACTTATAAGAAATAAAGTCAAGTTAACATAAGATTTTCACTTAACATCCTACCTACTGTTTTTCCTTCTCCCCTTGAAAACATAACCCAAGTCAAAATAAAACTGATTGAAGTTTCTGATTTTGAACTAACCCTTTACATGGAATGGCTAAAGCGTCATAAATCCCTACACTGTAGTTATGGGATGATTCTCATAAGAAGAAACAGAGACCAGAAAGCCATTAAGTCATCTATTAACCATATCTTCCCTGTCAAACCCTCCTATGTGAGACATGCCAAAGTTTGGAAAAGCATGTGTGGCAGAGAAGGCAGCTCAGAAAACTGCATCTCTGATGCTATCAAATTTACTCTTACTTTGAATTATCAACAGAATTATCTGTTCTCAGAAGAACAGACTTAAGTAAAACTCAAAAGGTGCAAAAAATACTTTGAAACCCTTTTTCCTTCATTTTCCTTAACATCACCAAATCTATCAGGTCATTCATCCCAGAGGCTCTTTCAATAGCAGTATTTTCTTAAAGGGGAAAACCTGGACGTAACACTAACAGTACTAAGAAATAGAAGTATCTAAAATCTGAATAGCCCTGAATGTGCAATAAGTTAAAGGAGCATTATTAACACTGCAATTTCTTTCTATTTACTAAAAAACAGTGCAGAAGGCATGAAGATGCCCAACACCGTCCTGTTATAACTGAGAACTTGGAAATACTAATTTTAAATCAAGAGGCAACTTCCAGTGAAGTCTTATCGGATAAAACAGTAAAGGCTTTTAATCCTTTAAATTCTATTTGCAGTAATGGAAGAAAAATTCATAAAGCAAAATGGGGCAATGTAAACTGTTTTCCACTGAGAAGATGAAAATATTAATTAAAAGCAATGAATTATACAATCTACAACTGAAACAGTGGGAAACCAGAAAAGTATATTAAGTAATGACATGGTAGCACGTGGCTGGCAATTCAAAGGACAGGTGCCTTCTGGGTGACTTGGATGGAGATTCTTTACCCTAATTTAATGGAAGTTATTTATTCTTAATGGACAAATAACATTTTTAGTAGAACTGGTTATTATTTTTACCTACCTGCTACTATCCTCTTTATACAGACTTACAGTCCCTGCCTCCCGCCCCAATGGCATAGGATACAATGGAGACACAATTGAGAATTATTAAAAATACCACAACTGACACAACCACTGCCCTTCCACCCCCCTACACAGTCAATAGCTTCCAAATTTCATGAGGACCATTCTGGATCAAGATCAGTGAAGATCCCTGACAAAACTGCTCTGATTGTCAGATTACCTCTTTTTTTGACAGCGAGATTATCTTTCACTATCAGATGCTGGAGTAGAGATTTTCAAGCTATTACATTCTCTTCTCCTGGAATTCTCTGTATTAAGTGAGTTTGAAGGATAGTGTATACATAAAATGCATGGCAGAATGCTATTTAGCACAATTAATGTCCACCCTATCAAGCACAATACATTTACACAGCGTTTCTAAGAGCTCATAAAAAATGTCTAATGGATCAAATGACTGAAAAGCACTTGAACTCCCAAACTGGATAACAAATACAATTCAAATACTATTATATTTTAACTCCTTAGCACTCCTTTTTAGCATGTCAGGCAGTGAACTAGCAGCAGTCCTTCCATTTCTTTAACTGGAAGTGAACTGTATTTACAAACACAGAGGTACAACAAGTAGTACTTTGAGCCCTGTGTGCTTTTGAGGCATTTTCTAGAGACACCTGATTAATACAGCTTCCACTGTAACACTGAACTCAACAAGTTCCACCTGCCTTTTTTATCACGTAAATCAGCAGGTAAGATGTTGATGCGCCAAGAAAAAATTGTTACATTTGAAAAAACAAAACATGTAGCAAGCCTTAAACATGCAGCAAGAATGATGAATTGTCTGTCACAGCAAGCAAATGACTGAAGCAAGTGAAAGTGAAGCTTCTTAAGACAATTAATGCAATTTCAGAAAGACACTATGAATTGCATACAGCTGGTATAACAATAAGCCAATACAACACAGTTTTGCCGCAGCTCCTTTTTACTCTCAATTTCATTTGTTGTTGAAGGATGTGTTCTAATGTTGAAATGCTGCATATTAAAATTTTAGGTTCCAATATTGCAAAAAATGCTTGTAAACATGTTCATATACTTTTAGAGAGCAATACTGTATATGCAAAAGAAGACACTATTTCATAGATTGAAATAGACGCATTTAATAACAGGATTTTTACTCTACTGGTCCTAATCTATCAAGTGAGAAACATAAGCTGTCATTAATTTACTGAGGTCATTATTAACCACTATAGGAATAAATTTTCTTTGTTCTCATCATCACCCTTTCTTAGAATGCCCAACTGGTAACTTCATATCAAAGTGATCCCAGCAACCCTGTTTTACTCTTTAAAAAGAAATTCAGATAATCTGGGTAAACTATTGCACATCACAAACATTGTTAATATGCATATACAAATAAAAATGTTACAACTATCATCCCAAATAACGCTACACAGAGCTAGCTAGCACTAAAATAAATATACAGAAAACCACAGCCTACTGGAAAACAAAATAATGAAGGCTAACACTGCAAAATAAGCCACCCTTTTCCAGATACTTCAGAGGTACTAGGACCTCTCTGCTGCTGGTGTTTCATAGCAATGCTTCTTTTCAGAACAAGTATGACTTCAAAGCAGCAGGGATATGAAATCATGAAAGGATGCAGTACATAATATAAAGGAATGATCATGTCCCCTGCTCATGAGGTTAAATAAATGAACGTAATTAGAGAAAAACCAAAATGAAGTCTGCAAGTATATCAAAATGAGGCCAAACAGATAAGAAGACTTAAGACATACTCTTAGAAATTTTAAGCACTTGAATCACAAAAAGAGTAATGGATGGGAATGATTAATTATTTCTTTGTTTGTTTTTCATTGCCAGACCCAAAAATAAAAACATAATATGTGTGAGCAGAACACAGAAAAAGAAAAGTAGCTTTGCACAAAAAGAAAAACAAAAACAAAAAAGAAACCAAACTAAAAATCTGAGATCAAGCTCCCTAGTGTTACCAATAAAATACAGACTGTATGTTACAAGTGTTAGTTAATATATTAGGCAGAGGAAGGTCACGTCCTTGATTTTCTTCATGTGCTGTAGCATACTTCAAATTTAGGTTAAAATATTGCATGTTACCAAGAACTATTTTTAGATAATGCTTTTACAACTCAGTGCTACTAAATCCAATTGTGGAGTTGTATTTGTTAAATCTTAATGGTATTGTAGTACACTATCCTAGGAAGATCACATAAAAATTAAAGAGCAAAGCTATTAATAAATTAAATAAGTTTCAATTGCTTAAGATTCCACCTGGTTAAAATACCTGCAGTTTGAATACACAGAGACTTAAAACAAGTGGAAATTAATTTTCAAGTACTGCCATTAATACTGACCGACATTCAAACTGTTAAGCTAAACTAAATGTTTCAAACAACAAATGGCAGGTGACATTGACCATAAACTGAACTTCACACATACAGTCTCCTTCTCCTTCTTCTGTTCTTTGCTAACGTTCGTGTTCAGGGACTGCCATTGCTGGGATATCTTAGATCAAAATCTGGACATTCGGATTATAATGACAGCAAATGTACATCTCAAGTTGAGTACATGCTGACAGCCCCTTCTCATTTGATGTTCAACATCCTTAAGGCTGGATCATCAACTTTGGAAATTCTACATCATCTTTACGAATTGCACGGATAATTTTATTCTCTCTATACAGAACGATTTCAGTTTGCTGGTTTTGGTGGTGGGATTTTTAACATTTCATTCACCTGAAGCTTTTTCTGAAACTTCTCTTTGTAAGCAGGTAAAGTTCTTTGTTTTTATCTGGAAATAGTAACTGGTGAAGTAAGAGAGTTTGTATTATTTATTTTAGATTATCAGGGACAAAATTCTCCCATCAAAGGAGTTATTTGTATTATGTCATCATATCTTATTTTGTTATCTGTGTGTTCCTTTTTTATTGACATTATTAAGCAGGATTTTTTGGCTAATATTAACACAAGTTCATATTCTTTTGTTTGTTAACAATGATACAAAGAAAAGTTAAATTCTAAAATGCAGGAAGAGAAATAAAATAAAAAATATGATGTCAATGAAAAGCTAGTAAAATACACTATAGCCAATAAAAAGATGAGGGAACTACAAGAAACTAGCACAAAAAGTAGGCTACAAGGACTAGTATGGGTAATTTTACACATAATTTTTGAGTCTGGCCTACGTAATTTATTGCCTTTGACATCATTTTGCTTTCCCTTTTTGTTAAAAGTACATTTTTTTCTAAAAGTCAGCAATACCTTTGTCTACCTGTCCTGTCTGGGAGACTGAAAGATAAAGGTCTGTAAGAGAGAAGAATGGAAAGAGCCAGAAAAGATCAGGAGGTTCAGAAAAAAATGAGGCCCAGCTTAAAAGTCTAAATTACACGCAGTTGAACACTCCAAATAGAGAAGAGGTAGCCCAGGTTTACCTACAATACTTATAGAATCTCAGAATAAAATCCCAATGACCCCTCTCCCAAAGAATTCCCTCCCTTTATCACAATGATTCTTTGGCTTCAGGATTGACCAGAAACCCATTCACAGATTTACACTAAACTGAAAGCCAGGGAAATGCATATAATACAACATTTCTCAGGGTACAAATAGTTTCTTTTGTAGCCCATCCAAATAGTATTAGCTCAATCACAAAACAAAGCTAGGGACTCTCTTATAGTGGTTTAATTAATCGCTGTTGAAAATATTCACAAATTCCTCAAGCTGATAATTTTGGTCAAATACATGTAAATATTCAGACTTTTTCACTAAATTTTAACTGAAAGCCTGTTTAGAAACCTAGCACGTAACTAAACAAATACCTGATGTTAAATAGCTAAATTTTGCATATTACTGAAAGCCTGATGGGCACAAGAAAAACTGAAGTATTTCTGAAAATGTAACTCAGTTACAGCTTTATTCATTTCATCATGTCAGCTATAAAAGTAAAGGCCACTTAACCTTAAATAGCTGCTTTGTAAATGCAAGAGGCATGATGGTGGTCTAAAAGCCAAAGGGACTAAAGCAACAGTGCTGTGGGGCACAGATGGCACTCCTATATACTACGGACTACATTAAGACTGATTTCTATATTTTATTTTTTCTAATTAAAGAAAACAAAGAAGATTCACTAGTTTTGGTTTCCTAGTGACCAGCATTTAAAATTTACTAAGTTATTACTTATTTTGATTTACATGGATTTGCCTGTGTCTTGAAAATATGTGTTCAGGAAAGACATACTCAAAGATTTACAATCTTGATCAAAAAGACAAAAAGAAAAGAAATAGCAATCAGGAATTTTCTGCGGATATACATTAAACAAATGATTAATGATCTAAGGGAACATTTATCAAGTATTGTGATGTATCTCAGCATTACAGTAACAGTTAAATTTGAAAAGAAACAGTCACTGAACTAAGAAAAAAGAATATATTTGTGGGGAGCAGACTGTGAAAAGTTCTGCCTCATCCCAGCCACCAAGTGTTTTAATTTATCACTGCTACTTCTTTACCTTCTATAATTCATTGCTGAATGTAAAGGAACAAGTTCCTTTCACTTTGTATATACTTCAAGTTCTGCGTGGGTTTTTTCAGAACATCTAGCATCTACTTTTATACTAAAAGCTCTTAAAAGAAAGAACAACTTGTTGATGAATAATAGAACACAGCAAGTATTGCAATTGGCTGCACTGAATCGATGTGTTTCAGAAGACTTGTCAGGGATTGGTCTACAGTTGATTTGGTAACAGAATTCACATAATTAAATGCTTTCAGACAGAACAAATATGTACATAATACATGGCAGAGCACAACTGCTGAGCAAGTTCAGCTTTTGGGAACACAACTGCATTTTTATCAAATAAGGAAAAGTCTAAGTATACAGAAGTTATTCAAATATAATAAAAATTTAGGAGAATAACTCCCAAATATTCATCTCTGTGGTAAGTGTTTCATTCTGAGTGTGAGAAAAACATTAAAATGAACACTTTGGACATGTTCAAAATCTACTATAGAATCCTTTCAGATGCATATACCTATGTACATCATACCTAGCTGCTTCTTGTTTTTCACATGTTGTTGACCGGATATAGTTTGGAAGTTGTGCAAAACAAGGAATTAAACGCATTAAAAAAACTTGGGGTGGCACAGCTTGAGACTGCAGAATTAGAACAGTATACCTTGTGCCACAAAAAAACCTGAAAATTTCATTTTTCTCTTTACTGTACTTCAGTTAGAACTAAGAAGTTCTCTGGGTCCTCTCCTAAAATACCATTTAGTTCATATTTATGCCACCTGGAAGTCTGGTCTGCTGACTTCCAACTTCAGAAAGTCTCCAATTCAAGCAAAGGCCTGTTTAGAAACTTAGATATTATTGTTTTGATGTATTCCTCTGTGGAATTACTCCCATCACTTACAATCCAGCACAGACTAAGCAAAGATATATTAGCAGCAGCATTTTGACTTAGAAGGCACATATGGTGACGTTAAAGGGACAGTAATATACTGTATCAAAGATAAAGTAATTCTAAGATCCTTTCTTAATCTAAATGTCTTTCCTAAACACAAATTAAAGAGTTGTTAAATTGAAAAAGGATTACCAAAACTCTTATGTGATCCCTCACTTAGCCCATTATGGACAAATACAGAATATCATTTTCTCACTTGTTGAAGACCAAAGGCTCAGATTATCAAAATTGCAGAATTCGTATTTACTTTGAAGTGTCTAAAACTGGGCTTTAAAATCTCTCTAGTCCACTTCAGTCCAATTTATTTCCTTGTGTTGCAGTATTTCTGCTGCTATTTATTTCAGGTGCTTAGAAGCATACTATCAGACAGGAATATGTAGTCTTTGAAGACACACTTCGTTTCTTCATCTGATTTCATTTAAGGGCTGAAGTCACTAGTCCAGCATAACAAGTAGGTTGGAACTAAAATGTTTTCTATAACAGAAACTTAGAGAACTACAGAAGTATCTTAATAGCAATGGTGCACAATGCAATTAGATAAAAAAAGTAAAATCTAACCAGCAGTGACTAAGCAGTTTATTACTTCTGATGAAAGGTACAGCATCCTGAGATACACTGCAAATTTTTGGTACTATAAGCAGGCAGCTTACACTATTTAGTTTGCTATGAAGGACAGAGAGCATTATAAAGCATGCATTTACTATAACCCCTGTTTTTAGTTTACAAACTACACAGTGCATCACTCTTACCTCAGATTTCTCCAGTTTATTTTGAGCATCAATCTGAGTGACAATTTCATTCATATTGGTCTCCAAAACCATGCCACCCATAACCATTTCAGCCAATATATTATGGACCTAAAAGAGACCAAAAGAGAATTTAAAAATGCAAAATATCCTACATACAATCTGAAAAAATGGTCTAGGTACCTTGATACAGGGAAACATTTTGTAAATAATTTAATTAATGTTAGCACTTAATCTAAAGGCAGTTGAAAACAAAGCTCATAATTTCATATTCCTTTCTCTAGTATCTTTGCTCACACCACTTACAAACATGCTAAGAAACTTTCACATTCTTCTTTTTTTGTTCCCATTTCCTATCCAATTATTAGAGTTTGAGTTAGCATCAACAGCAGTAACACCTCTAGGAAGCAGGTCCTACAAGACTAAACAAATTGCTCACAAGTAGATGTGTAAATACTCCTCTGGGCTACTCTTGAGAAGGAAGAGACTCTGATGCTCACCCATCACAGACCCCAAGATTTGGCTCAGAAGTAGAACTGACATTCCCAAGACACCTGATAAATATGGAATCTTCAGTATCTACAGCTAAGACTGACAGCTAGGACTCAAACTGCAGGAGCACAGAAAACAGCTGAGGACATTGCTGAAATGGGTATGTTTGAATATCTCTCCTCCCTGCAGCCCTGACTTGAGGATGAAAACTCTGGTTCATAATTGCTGCCTCAGAGTCTGTACTCAAACCATAATAAGACTTGGTTTGGGTTTTTTCTTTTTAAGAAGGCATCCTTCTGCACACTTACTAGTAAAAATCCAGGGTTATCATGTAATGTATAATATTTTAATAGTATATTAGTATTTAAATCTGAAGACAAGGAGTATTTTTCTACTTTTCAGAAATAAACGTGTACAATCTGGTATCTCAAAAGCATAATTTTAGCTACTATTTTGGACATTCTCCTTATTTCCCCATGGATTGAGGATAGAAGTAAATCTTTAAATCAAATAATCAGGAGGTAGTACATCAAAAACCAACACAGTTTGCTTTTGTGTCATACCTAAAAACAAAATTGAATTTGTTTCTCTGATTCTTTTTAGTGTATTTCTAAAACAGCCCTTCTTCAGGCCCTTTTGTGCTCTTCCAAAACCTTTCCTCCTATATAATTCTTACTCCTTTGCCTCCAGTCTCTAGAATACTTAACTTCTTCCTCAGTGCAAACCACTCCATACCCTGGGTCATGCTTATCCTTCTCTGCATTTTTTCCTACTTTCAGAGTACAATAGTGAAGTCCAACACACAGCATTTAAAAATGTTCAAAGCATAGGTGGCTTTAAAGAAGCTGGACTATTTTGTCTTTCTCCACTTTTATTCTAAAGGGACAGCTTTCTAAATAACAGCATTTAATTAATTTTATTTGCTAATCTCCATATGAAAGGAAATCACAGCTTAACTAATAAAGTTACATAAGCATCATAATCCATTGACTCCCTCCTCTTAAACACGTTTGCTCATATGTAAGCAGCAGCAAGATAAAAACAAACAGTAACTGTTTTTTCTTTTCAAATTAAAATTCATTGCATATACATATTAATTGTACAAATACACCTTATGGTCTCTATCTTTTCTTATTTTAAAAAATCACTATTTTTGCCAAGAAACAACGACAACAAAAAAAATCATTAACAAAAACGCAATAAGTGGAAATGAAGTGCAAAAGAGACTTCAACAGTGTATTAAAAATAGCATTTAAGGGAAAGACTGAAGGCACAACAAATACACATCTTATATTCCAAAAGGGATCTGACTGTTGAGAATATCAACTTTTTAAAATTTGAAATTGCTGTTTTGTAATAACAATTTTGAAGTGTTTTTACAAAAATCAAGAGTGCTTCCTATTTACATTAGATGCACTCTCTAAAAACATGAATGCACATTCTAAAGAAAAAGGAATTTATCAAGAAAAAAACTCTCTCAGGAAAATTTGGCAAACACATTTTCTTGTCTTCAAGAAATTTCATTCTGAATGGTTCACTCATCTGGTTAGATAATAAACTCTTGCAAGAGATCATGATACTCCCAGAGATATTTTAATAGGTGCCAAAAACCAGTGAAAAAAACAAAGTATTCCCTTACATCCCTAGCTGAATATATTCTATTATTTTAGTTGTGTAATAGCTTTCAATGATGCCTTTTCCATCAGAAAGCATTAGGCTCTTGTACTCAGAAGGACTGAAATAAACCTGCCCCTCCTCCTCACAAGACATGTGAAAATGTCTTGCTCCAGCTATAGCAAGTTTTTTGGCTGCCTGCAATACAGATGAAGAGAAGTTAAATTCTCTTCTGTATGAACTACACTCCCCAACACCCCAAGTCCTCATCTGCTACAGCACATTAGAAACACTCATTCCACCTATATTCCATTCTTCAAATGAATTCATCATACTCTATCAATATTCTTGAATAAGCATCTGTCTTGGCTCTGGGTAACTAAGTCACTGCTGAGTCCTGTACAATTATAAACACCTGAGGAGCATAAATATTTCCTTACAGAAATACCACATAAAATACCACAGAGCAACAGCTGTTGAGATTACATAGTTTAACTCTTCTACATGCCACCTCATCTTTTTACAAGAAAAAATGTTGGTTTAGGCAGCTCTCACAAGAGAATTGCAAGAAAACCTCCCACAGCTCCATCAAGAACTGAAGACACAGAACAACTCTCATTCAAATAACTCAGCCAATCCTCACTTTTCTCAATATCAGACCACTCAAAATACAAATATTTTAAAGATTTCACCCCTAACAGCACCCACACATAAGCACCCATTATAACCAAGACTGTCAAGATCAAGCAGGAGCAGCTGCTGTTCTTCCCTTTTGCACACTTGAAATATATTAACAAGAAAGAGAAAGTTAATGCATTAACTATGAAGGCTCGGTGCATTCTGCTTCTTAACAAGTTGACTGTATCAGCAGTTTAAAGAAAATTTAACATTTTAATTTAATTCTCACAGATATGTCTTCCTGTTTTGTTCTCTGACCTATAAGAATATTGATGAATTTAAACTGGAAGGGAAAAAAAAAGGAAGACTCAAGATGACATCAAGTCAGTCACAGCTGCCCAACTAATGCTTCTGTTCAGCTGGGTGGCAGCCTTGCCTTAATACAGAAGTTCATGTCTCTGTATTGAATTCTTTTGTTCATTTACACTCAAGGTAAAAATCACTGCACTGGTTAATGTCACATTCAGAGCTTTTTAACTCAAGGCTTCACTGGCTTTTATTGTGAAAATGTATTATTTTTACTAGTATTTTGGGTTCTTTCAGATACCTAACTTGGTATTACTTTCAGTCTGCTTTTAATATCTTACTTTTCCTTTGACATCTTCTGCTGTTGATACAGAAAGATGTTCAGATGGGGAGAGGCGACTGCACAGAAAGCAATGGTAGGCAAAATGCAACTGAAGGAATAAATTCTGTATATTAAATTCTCAGCATTTTAGGTATTACACCAAGAAATGCCAAAGTCCTTTTAAATGAGGGTGACTATACTAAAAGAATTTTTCTAAACTAGATTAGTAAATACAACACTTGTTTCTTATAGCTGGGAATATTCAAACAACATTGTTTCTAAGTGTTTGAAAAAAGACAGTCCCTTTTGAGATTTTAAACACAATGAGCCACACAGCATTTAAATTACATAATCATAGCATATTAAATGCACCTTCCAATCCAACATTTGACCAAACACCATCAAGTTGATTAAGCCACTGCAGCAAGTGCCATGCTTCTTGAACACCTCTGGTTATGGTGTCTCCATTAGTTCCCCAGGCCGTCTGCCTCAATGCCTGACAACTCTTTCAGGGAAGAGGTTTCCAGCTTGAGGCCACATCCTCTTGTCTGCCCATGGTTACCTGGGAGAAGAGACCAACCCCCCATCCTGTTACAATTTCCCTTGGGGTGGTTGTAGAGGGCAGCGTGGCTCCCTCGAGCTTCCTCCTCTCCAGCCTCAACATCCCTGCTCCCTCAGCCCCACCTCACAAGACATACCATCTAGACCCCCATCAGCTTTGTTACCCTTCTTTGGAAAGTAAAGTAGAGTTTAATATCAAGTATCAGCTGAAACAAACATATTACTTGATAAAAATATTACAGGATGTCATCACAGTACCTTGTCTACATGGAAGATTAAATCCAGCTCACAGACATTTTCAAAACATTTGTCTAGTGTTTCCACAAATACCTGCAAAGAGGGGAAAAAAGCACCAAAGGTCAATCTTGAACAAAAACTCTGCAGTTCCTTTAGGTGTGAGGTTTGAGAAAAGCAAATACAGAAATTAAACACCAGTCAGACCTTAAGGCATTAAAGGCATCTACCGAAATGATGTGGTTAACATTACGTCAAAAGTATGTTATCTATGTAGAGGACAAAACTGTATGCACAAGCCAATTTAGGTTAAAACTGCTTAAAGTCACACTGTTTTAAAAAACAGACATATCTTGAAAAACCAGTAACATAACCTACACTATAATTTTCTCAGCTGTGATTTAAAGTACTCCTTCCCATTTCATTACAACTCAAGTATAAAGCAAAGAAAACCAGCTTTTCCCATCATTGTTTTTAGTAATTACTGCATTGCAGGCATTTCCTAGTTAAACAGACTGTTAACTTTGCTGTTAAGTGTCAACATCACTCCTTCCAGCAGTAGGATAGTACAGACCCACTGAATCCAGGATAAAAAAAGGCATCTGTCTTAATGTCATAACTCCTGATCCTGTCAGGCATATTACCATATAAATTTAGAAAAGTCTGTAATAGTTCACACATAGGCAAATAAATCCTTCCTGAATCCAGAACATAAAAGCATAAAAATCCAAGCAGCTACTGCACTCCAGCCACTGATGTTCCCTGCCAGATATGGTCTGTACATCACCTTCCTCTGGGTGTTTCTGGAACAGATTCCCGGGCATTTATGTTTGCACCTTGCTACACCAAGAGCACCTGATCCTCACTTAGTCTGGATAATGAAATGATGATTGCACTTTCAGTCCTGAAGTTCCTAAATGCCAATCACTATGTCCTTGTGGTGAGTGCTATTAGACACTCCAGCCTTAGAGAGTTGTACACACAGTTACCTTTGTCCAAGGGATAACTTCTACGGACACGGGTTATGTCAAGATCTCTCTAAGTTAAATATAAGATTGAGCTTAGGGTCTTCAAAGCAAATTTCTGAAAAAATTTACAGATCTTTTATTAATGGCATGAAAATAAGTGGCAACTTGTTGGAAATTTTAATTAGTTTTGTATGTGTCAAGACCATTTACTCACAACATGTATTTTATTTATTAGGCTGTCACTGTATGCAATTTTTTATTCAATTCTTAACTCAAACATCCTAAAGAAGCAGTATGGAAGACAAACACCTCATTTCGACTCTCTGTTCCACATGATTTATGAACCCCACCTTAGTATTTGAGAGGCACCAGATTTCAAACTGCCTAGGTCCAGGCACAGATCTGACATAGATCATAGAATTGTTTAGACTGGAAACCTAAAGATGAATGAGTCAAAGAGGTAAGCTAGCACTGCCAAATCCAGCTCTACCCCAAGTCTCTGAGTGCTACATCCAGATGTTTTTAAAGCACTAGGCATGGTGACTCCACCACTTCCCCAGGCAGCCCACTCCAATGTCTGACAACCCTTTCAATGAAATTTTTTTTAATATCCAGTATAAACCTCCCTTGGCACAAATTGTTTCCTCTTATCCTATTTTTTCTTTCTTGGGAGAAGAGATTGAAGCATCTCTATAACCTCCTTTCACACAGTTGTACAGAAAGATAAGATCCTCCCAGTCCTTCTCTCCAGATTAAACACCCCCAGGTCTCCCAGCCATCACTCCTTGTAAGACTTGTGCTCCAGCCCCTTCACCACTCCACTGCCTTTCTCTGGTCTTGCTCCACCCTCTCAGAATCTTTCTCATACTGAGGAGCCCAAAACTGGACACAGGATTTGAGGCACGGCCTCACCAGTGCCCAGTACAGAAGGAGAGTTGCTGGCCTCACTCCTGCAGATCAAAGCCAAGCTGCCACTGGCCTGCCTGGCTGCCTGGGCACAGCTGGCTCATGTTCAGCTGCTGCCACCCAGCATTCCCAGGTCCCTTTCCACTGGGCAGCTTTCCAGCCACTCTGCCTCAGCTTGGAGCACTGCAGGGACTGCTGTGATCCAAGGGCAGGACCCAGCATTTGGCACTGTCAAACCTCCTACAACTGACCTTGGCCCATCCCTCCAGCCCGTCTGAGTCCCTCCAGCAGGTCAACATTCCCACTCAGCACAAAGTCATCTGCAAACTGGCTAAGGGAACACTCAAACCCCTTATCCAGTTCATTGATAAAGATATTAGAGAGGCCTGGCCCCAGCACTGAGCTCTGGGGAACACCACTGCTGACCAGACACCACCTGGACTAACTCCATCCACCCCACTCTTTGTGGATGAAGTCCTGCTTCTACAGACATGTTTTTATATCTACCAACCCAGGGAAATAGATCTGCTTGACATCACCCATTCCCAAGTGTATACCTCGCCTTATTGTGTGATTACTTTTGCATCTTAATTGCTGATCTTCAGATCCTGCTCAAACTGAAAAAGAAAGAACAATCACACACTGCCCTTGCTATGACTACTACTATTAAAGTCTTTAAAATGTTGAAATCAAACTATAAATTAACTAATTATGCATTTAGACTATCCTTTAATACCAAAAATACAAATCTGTCACTTAAACTATGAACACAGAGCATATTCAGAGGCAGACTCAGGACAATAAGGTTTGGTGATAAGTTAACTAAGAAAATGAATATGCTTCTGTTAAATTATGCTCAAGCTAAGCAAAGCAGGGATTTTTCTTCAAGCAGTTGTTAATTCATTGCAGTAATAACAGTCTTCTGTAAAGAAGGGATGCGAGCAAACAAAAAAAATCTTGTACGTTAAGTACAAAAACTACACATTTGACAACGTGTGGTGCAAAACAAATCACCAAAGATGTTCTCTTACTTTCCTTGCACCTTAGGTGAACGCAGTTACAAGAACAGTGCTGTTTGACATTAGCTGTAAGAAGAAGATTGGAAACAGTGTAAATGCAACCTCCGTGCAATAGTTTTAGTCACAAGAGCTAAGAGTTTGACACTATTCCTCATACAGTCACCAACTCTGCACGATTCACACACTGACATCTGTCTAGTTCCTTGGAAAACAAAGGAACCCATTAAAGACACGGGCAACATAACAATCCTAAAAACACCCCCCTCCCCACATGTGTTTAGTAGCAACATACTGGCTCACACATCAACAACACAAAAGTTTAACTGTTGTGACATTCTTCCAATAAATAAAGCTTCTATAGCAGCACTTGATTAATTGTTGGAGCAGTTACTTTTAAACCTTTACCTATTACACAGCAATCCCATCACACACTAAACAAACTCACAAATCTCTGCTTAAAATGCATGACCAGCAATGCACAACAAACATTTTTTAATCTAAGGGAAATCAGCTGGCACTGACTATTCCTTCACAGAGATTTTTCACTAACCAGAGATTTCTCACAGAAGCTTTGGAAATTTCCTCCATCTTCCATTGATGATGGCAAGCTCACTCAGAATAATGCCAGAAATTACAAGGTCTACATCTATTATAAATTATCTTTTAAAACACTAGTCAGCAAGGAAAACTAGATTTTTTACAGTAACATTTCTTGGCCTGTTTTAAGATGCCTGCAACAATTGAAAAGGTAAATAAAATCAGAGTCACTTTCATCTGAATTTTAGTTGAGTCAAATGAATTGCACACTGAGGCAAGCAGTGCTAAAATTTAAGTACTGCAGTAATCACTTCAAATGCTGCAGACTTGTAGATCAATAACCAGAAGAGAAAACACATCAATTGATTTGACACACACACATATCAGTTCAGATGCACCATGTGATGTTACTGGAAGTGTAACATAAATAAAGGAGTGAAATAGCAGGAAAATAAGGATGCAAGCACAATTAATTACTAGCTCCCCCTTGTGCTTCATTTTTGAAATTATAATCTTTTATGGTAAAAAGAAAAAAACCACACACATCTCCATGTAAGTAAACAGAAAACATTAAAAAAAATGAAAACCCCAAAACCCCTACACCTTTCTTTTGTAAGAAATATGCTTTAATAAAGACAGATACACACTGGGAGCATAAATTATATAAAACAAAACACAATATTTTCATTGAATATATGCAAGTCTGGAGCTCTCTCTACTCAGCCATATGTCAAAACAAAACATCACCTTTCCAATGAAGGGCTTATTTTTAAAATAAGCAAATAAGACAAAAATGGAGTAAATCATACATTAGTAGGAAGACAACAAGGGCAGCAGAAAACTCAGAACACCTGATCAATTAAATGTATTGGAGCATAGATAATGTCAAATACTAACAAAAGCAGGTACAAAAGATAAGCTAAAAACAACAGGAGTAACTCATAACAAGAATATCCCCTTCTTCTTCCTTACCTAAACAGCAATGGTAAACCTGAGGACAGAAGTAATTCAATCTGCCCTTGGAGAGTTCTCATCTCAGTCATATGGTTCTCTGTTTTTTATTTAATTAGCATAAAAGCATCTCTGGTCAGGATCCTTTATCCTTAAGAACTGAGAAAAACGTGTTACACAAAGTGCACTGCACTTCCCACATGCCTCTCACTGAACACCCTTACCTTGAAAGGCTCCACTGAATTTCCCATGGAAGACTGATCTCTCACAGACTCCGCTGCTTGCTGACTCATTATGTCTTCAAAGTACAGCTATGGGCCAAGACACTTACAAATTCTTGGAGTGACAGAGGCTCTTACGTCCATAACATAGTTAAGGTACCACTGTAAAGACCCTTCATTTCTCCCTTATGCCAGTTTACAGCTAGTTCTGTTTTCACACGTATTTTTGTTACATGCAATAAAAACCTTACACTTCACAGGCTAACACAAAGATGCTAAAATAGCATGACAGAATTTACAGAATCCAAAAGACTGCAAAACCTAAGCATAGCACAGATGCTGACCTATCTACCAATCCAAGAAAGCAAATATAATAAAAAGAAACTTGTGTTTATATTTAGGAAAAAAAGGGAAGAAAATGGTCAAAAATAAACAAAGTGAATTTGCCTTTCAAACAAAGAAATCCAAGTTGAAGACAGTATCAAATCTGAGGCAGAGTCCATGATTTGTAAAGCATAAAGCATATTCATTAAGCCTGAATCAAGAAGATTTACCTGTGAAATAGCTCTGACCTAATGGAGGGATAAGTGGCATTCACAAAAGTATCTTAAGTATCACAACAAAAACTTTCTGCTGAGAAGAACTGCAGACTACCATATGTAACCCAATCTCCTATGCATTTACCCAGTTTACATGACAGAAACCTCCAAAGTGCTAAACTGAGTTCTAGGTTTCTTTCACCAGTTTACTTTCCATCACAAACTACTATATTTATCTACTTACTTAGTCATACACTATATGTATGTCAAACAAAGCCCAGATGTCTTACTCCTACCTGTGTTATCTCTAAACTACAGTAAACAAAGATGTATCAAAATGTTCAACACTTTCAGGAAGAAACAAAGCTTATTTGCTCAATCCAACATCCGTGTGTATATCCTGTAAGCCTACACTGCATGTGTAATTGACAAGTAATAAGAAACTTTCTAAGGGCCCTCTTTCAGTAAAAGGTACATTATGATTGCTACTGCTAAGAGGATTAACAGATCCTTCTTCTGAGCCAGTCTAGAAATTAAAAATATTTAATTAATCTCAATACTCTTAATATTTAACATATCTCTAATACTCTATGCTTTAATCAAATATTTGAATGATAACATTTAAGAAAATTCTGAATCCTCAACAGCTGCAGGTACTGTGGTGAGACTATGATTTATAAACAAAATCATACAAGTCAGAAAACCAAAATATTTCTACAAATGGAAATAGCATTTTTATTATTTCAGTTTCCTTTACATAATTATGTTGACATGTAATTAAATACTGGGGCATTTTTGGAAACAATGTGAAATACAAAGACTAGGAGATCAAAATCTACTTAAGTATTTTTGGTACCAGAAGCAAAAGATTATAAAGAAAAGTTTAAATTCTCTAATTCAAAAAGTTTGGGGGCTATATAATTACGGGTAGTAGTAAGGGCAAGCTATTTGCTTCAACATTTGAACGTACAATTCAGGTTGCACTGTCTACATATGAATATGCTTCTTTTCTCTGTTCGTAAGTATTTTGGCTCTTCCAAGTAAGAAGACACAATATGTGACAGGCAGCTAAGCAACCCTGTACAACAAACTGCTAGGAACAGGTAGAACCATCATGTACCTTACTCGTTAACGCTGCAGTGTTCGGATACTGCAGAATGTTTGATGACCCAAGATCATATAAGAATCCAGATGGGAGTTTTCCTTCCCTCCTACTCCCACAGGCACTCTTCTGGATCTACTGTCCGGAACAGCAACACTGGAGCAGCTGTTCTGAACAGCAGGAGGTGTCTGTGAGAAGCTATGCAGCTTCAAGAAAGGTCTGCAGGGAACTGGGAGGCCTTAGAGACACACAGTTTTTCCACAGTGAAATAACCAATTGATACAGTCCCACGTGTCAGGACAGATTTTACTTATGCAATAAATCAATTCTCTTGATGTGCAAACTTTTGAAAGGCTTAACAGTAAGTTATATTTACTCTTTTCTAGATATATATATATATGTATGTGTGTATGTAAAAGAGATCCATTTTATGCAATGACATAAATCCCTTAATGGTGGGAAACTGTTTTTTGCCACATCTGAGTTCACTAACAGTGAAATTGTTTATTTGCAAGTTTTAAGTTGGAAAAATCACTGATTTAGTTGGAGGCCTCTTGACCTAGGAGCATTCATATTACCAGACATGGTAATTGTTACTAGGCTGATAACAGACATATTTGGCATTTTAAATATTTGCCACAGCACCAAGCCTGCCTGAGTTTAAGAAACATTTGAACAAGGCTTTAAGGCACATGGTATGATTCCTGGGGGGTCCTGGGCAGTGTCAGAAGTTGGACTCAATGATCCCAATGGATCCCTGACTTGGAAGGAAACTCTACCTGGAAGCCTTGCAGAAGACATTCTGTTTGAGGTGTCAGTGATCTTGAACAGGTCATGTCTGCTGTACTGGGCTGAGCAGGACAGATCTTCTTAATACAATCTATAACCTGTGATGTCCTTGGCAAAATGAACTGTAGGAAAGGAATGTACTGATTCTGACTAAGAGACTGTTGCATGTTTAGGGGTTAGTCATCCACATAACACAACCTGAATAGACACAGAGGCCTGTGCTGTGCTGCAAAAATTCCTTGGCCAAGGGATAAACTCAGCCAGCTCACTGTAACAGGAGCCTGCAGGCAGCTCCCACAAGGTACCAGCGAGCATGCCACCTGCATGGCCTCACCATGACCCCAAACTACAGCAAGAAGTTCTCCTGAAAATATCCTTTAGCAAGAGCTGTTTTCCTTTGAGGAAATTATATAATAGCTCAAAGATTCAAAAGAGGGAAAGCTTCTCTCCACAGACAGGATCTGCTCTGCCCTGCACATTGTGGGAAAACCCAGCTGGGCTCCACTGGGTGCCACATGAAGGTGGCAGTCCAGCACCTGAAGGGCTGTAAGATTTACCACCTACACTCATCTTCTCACTCTGCTCTGCTAAGCAGTTTTCTTATTAAACCATTTGTGCTGTTAAGCCTTTCTCACTGAGAAAAAGAACGTAGGCTTATGGACCATCTTCCTCCCTAACAACTCCCACCCTACCCATCCCAATTCCCCTGGAGCAGAACACACACATAGGGGAGCATTTGCCCTCCTTTTCTAAGGCATACCTGTCAAAAAGCTCATGAGCCACAAGGAAAGTTTAATCCAAGGAGATTTTGGACATATTTATGCATTATGCATTTATTGTGAGTATACATATGCATGCATCTATGTGTGTGTGAGTCTGGATATATATTAATATACATAAATATATACATATACATACAGAGCATTGCCTGTCAAAGTTCTCATGATCCACACATGCATAGCAAATGTTTGAACTGCGCCACTTTTACCTGCAGCAGAAAAAGGCCTTGAAAACCTAAAACAAAAACTAGTTTGCGCTCAGGAGGCTCCCAAGAGTTTCCTCACTTTCCCGTCAACTTGGACAACGACTTTTCCAAAGACAGACAGAAAACTGTAAACAATCTGAAAATAATACTCAGCACTCCTTGGTATGTTCACAGTATAAAAGCAACCTTCCAAAAAAAGGCAAGCAAAATATTTAAGTTCTAAGCTACTTTAGAGTTGAATTACAGTAATTAAGAATTAATAAAAAGCAAAAAAACTCACCAAAAAACCACAAAGCAGCAAAAAGAACTTACTTGTATGAGGTCTAAAATACCAAGCTCACTTTCTGAGGAATCCACACAGAAGACAAAATACAAGGTGGCATAGTGTCGGTAAATTAGTTTGTTATCAGATCCACCTATTAACCTAAAGAGGAAATAAAACAAGTAAAGCTTAGTTAGCATCTCGGGCTAAGCTGAGCAAATCCTCACAGTAATTTCAATTAACAGGAGGCCTATTATTAACAGCTAGAGCTACACTGCAACTTTTATTTTGTGATATAATTCCAACAGAGGACTAAGTAATAAGACAGCTCAATTTACATTTACCAAACAAGCAGTTATTGTTATCCATATGGATAAAAAATGACATCAACCTGTGCACCTTTTTATTAAAATCAATTCAAACAGATCACAAAAAAGTAGGTATTAAATGTACTTTCATTCCACACTAGCAGGCAGGCACTGAACAGGGATTAATCTGCTTTACAGATTAACAGTGTATGCCTATGAATCCCTCCCTGACCTCAGAAGAGCATCAAGAGGGGAAAGAAAAAGAAATCTGCAATGAAGACTGGCATTTGGATTACCAAAAAAGCCTTAAATTAGGTTTATGATCCATTTCATAATAAAGAATATGTAACACTTGTGCTACAAAATGTCTGATATCTTGAGAAATAGGACCACACTTCAAGCAGTAATTCATGATGCAATGTTACAGTCACAGAAGCAATTATATTTTTATGGACTCACTAATCATCATGGCACTGAATGAGAAGAGGTCTAAAGAGGTATGTTCTTCCATTCTTCTGTTACGGTGTTCCAAACAAAGGCACATAAAGCACAGGAGATCTACCTCAGACCACTGACATTTGCTTTGAGCTGTAAGAGGTCCAATCCCAGATAAACAAAACTAATTTTTAGGCTGAACCTATATGGCCATGACTGTTGTGACTTTTCCTTAACTCTGTACCAGAACTGAATCACCCATTTTGTGCAACATAACTCATCCCTTTAACTTCTGTCATTATCACACAGAGAGAATACACAGATTTTAAAAAAAAAATCTTTTAGGTCACTTTTGTTTAAGCAAATTGCTCTGCATTAATGCTTGGTAGGGAGCAGGGATGGGGGTAAGGAAGGGGAACCCTTTGTTTCTGTAGAGCAGGAATTACATTTGTGTATCAGACAACACTTTTACAAACAAACAGGACAGTGGAAATACCTAGCATTTGAAGTTTCTTCTTTTGTCATCTATTTACCCAATTCTTTCAAATACTTCATACTTGCAGTACACATAGTTCTACACATAAACTGTTGAGGCCTTTGGGTAAACTGCAAACTATAAAGTGAACCCTGTCCTGAAAGAAAAAAATACTGAAATGGTAATCCTGTAACTACGCAGTAGGGGGAAAGCCAGAATTCTGTTCTCTATCTCAGTTTATTTTTGTTAAGCAGCTGTCATTTTTAAAAAGCTCCAAATGTCTTCTGCCTCTCACTTACAGAATTCAAATCAGAATGCTTCCAGCTTGAGATCATCTCCAAGAACCTGATGATAGAATCACCAGTTGAGTAGTCAGAAAAGAATAATTTAAATTTAAAAACCAGTATGTAAAAAATCAGGAATCATTTTGAGCAAGGAAAAAAGACATCCTAGCTGATATGGTACAGCTAAGCATTTAACTGACTCTGCACACAGTAAATCTAGGCATTAGAAGACCGACTTCCAATAACCAGAAATTCCTATAAATATAATATTTAACAGACTATGACAATCTCTGTCACAGACTGGAGATAGAGAGCTTATTCCACCAATTCTGACCCCTTCTTCTAGAGGGTGGCTTTTTATCTATTTACTCTTGAGGGCTAATAAATACTTCAAAATAAAACACATCTCCATTTCAGAATTTCTTCAGCTAAAGCAAGATGACAAAAACAATGAAGATGATTCAAAAGAGATTTTTTTGTGTGTCTTACAGAGACGGAACACCCAAGTCTCACTTCCCTCCTACCTTGCTTTTCCTTTATTAATAAAATATCTTGGTTGAAACTGTACTAGTTAGTGCATTTAAAACCTTTTTTTTTTCTTCCCAGTTCATGGAGCAAGCCCAAATCCTGATAAAAAGGCTGCGGAATCCTACTATAAAGGCTGTCTGCTCAAATATTAGGAGTTCAAGCCAAAGAACAGTTAAAAAGTATTAAATTTTCTAGAGATTTAGCTCAGTTGGTCAGAACATGGTGCTAAAAACACCAAGGCTGAGCTGTGGACTCCTGTACAGGCTGTTCAATTCAGACACCTTGTGGATCCCTTCAGAATATTCTGTGACTCTGTGAGTCAGTGGGTATGGCAAATGCCAATGCCTCTTAAAATGCGACCAGCAATCTTCAGCTTGATTACAGCAAAACAGCATCTGCCTGCTCCTTCCCCATCTTTGCATCTGAAACACTCATGGCACTAGATATAGCACTGTGGCTATTACAGCACAAGGGAAAAAAATTTTATTGCCCAAGACATTTTGGCACATATAGCTATGCTTCAGTTAGTAAAGAATATGTACACTTGCTGCAGAATGATATAATTCCTTGTGTATCAACAAATCTCAAGTGGCATGGCATTTACACGACAGCTGTGAAATGTTGTACTGTCATCAGAAATAAAAATACTTGAAAGCCAGTATTTGGCATTTATTTCAAACTTGATACTTACAGTCCTCCTTCTAGGAAATTACAGACATTTTCATCACGTTTTGATACTAAATGGAAAGTTTCTCTGATAATTTGTTGCTGTGTATCTTCACTCTGTGAAAGAAAATACACTTTGCTAAACAGGATTGACAATGCACACAAGACTCTAAAACACAAAGTATGTCAGCACTCTCAAACTATCTACTTCTGAAGCCTTAAATCTGCCAGTTAACAAGGCATGTATTGTTTGCGTCATTTCGACACAAAAAGCCATTATTTACAAGTTGCAGAAAAAGGTATTACTGAGAAATGTGAAAAAAATGATTTTTTAAAGAAACTTCTGTAAAAAAAACACATCTAAAAGTAGGATTTTTAAGTAAGCCAGAAGTGTTCTCAAGTACCTTGAATTTTTTTGTATCTCCAAGGTAGCCTGAACTACTTTTATCCATAAACTGAGAGTACAACGAAGTCCCCAAAGCTTGAAGACTGCAGCGAAGCTTCAAATCCCACAATATGTAACATTTCCAGAAATACCCTAAAATACAAAGGCACCACAAGCAACAGGTGCTCCTAAGCCATGACCTTTAATCTTAGAAGACCAGAAACATCACCTCTGAGACTGAATTCTTCTGGCTCTTTAGAAACTTAATTTTTACCTTTGAAATTATGGCCACAGGTCTACATTCTGAAAGACGAAATCATGACATGCATTTTAATTGCCATAAATTAGTTTCTTCTACCTAACTGCAAAATATTATTTACTTCACTTTATGCAGTTTCTGTTCTCATATGAATCAGCTGAAAAAGTTAAGAGTCGTAAGTTTTAGTATTATGAAAGAAGTAAGTACCTCTTTCACGGATCTGACCGAATTAATCTCTCTAGAAAGCTGCAGATGCATCCTCTCACTGAAAAAAGCCGAGATTTGCCTCCAGTACCAGTGCAATTGACACTATAGAATGCATAAGCTTCAAAAGATCCACAAACAAATTCACATTATTGAAATCACACATAAAAATACAATCTATATGATTGCGCCTGTTTCTGCGCACCAGAAAGTTTCTTACTTTAATTTGCCATTCACATTTTCAAAACTTCAAAGTATTCTGTTTACACAAACATATTACCCTACTTCAGGCATTGAGAAATTGTTCAAAGCCGAGTTATGAAACTAGTAGATCAGAAAGGTTTTACAAGAAAAATCTGGTATCCTCTGGCCGTCTGTTCATCTCCTTTCCCTTCTACCTCACACAAAAGAAGGACCTGAAATAGTTACACTCCTTTAATTCAAAACCTGACCATGCAAACTGAAGGGACACAGTCATCATTTCTGCTCTGAGGTGTGTAACTAAGATACATCCCTTCCAATGATCTATGAGTCCTCTAATAACCAGAATTGCAAGAAAGAGGTCACAAATCCATGTAACTGCATTGCTGGGAAACGAGTTATTTGTTTACATAACTTTTAAGAAATACCAACTGTTTTCTTGCACTTTAATGCCCAACCAGACCTCAGCATATTTGCTGAGGAAATACAGTACAGTGCGCTCAAAACATTATCTTAAAATCTCTTATCCTTCAACTAAATCACGAGTTTCCAGTGCACCTTTCCATCCAGACTGAGCGTCTGCGCTGCATTTTCGTTGTGCCTGCCTTCTACCATGTAAAAGAATGCTCTTTTCTAGTTCCTGCGTGTTCACGTCATCTGCAATTTCACAGTGCACCGAGAATTTCCGAGAGGAGAGGTTCTGTTCCGGAGCTCCCCTGCCCCGCTCCGCCACGCTGCCTGCACAGAGACAGCAGCCGGACTCGGGCCGGGCAGCGGCGCTTACAGCGGCAGCGCGGAGAGCCAAGGTGTCTCTAGACGAGACTCCCTCCCTGCCGCCTTCACCCCGGAGCTCCCAAAGGCAGCTCAAGCGAACACACGACCGCCTTTCCCCGAGCCCTC